TGCCAACCAGGCAGGTATTTATGGGACCAGGAGGCGTCTTTTTGTTACCAGAATGCAAACCCTAATAAACTAGACCACAATGTACCTGCAGACAATCACTTAACAAAGAGATAGCCAGGCAAGGATGTTAGTTAGCACCAGGTATGAGGAGAGACATTTGTGACCAGAGCTAATGGTACAACCAATGGACAAGTCAACACTCTCTTGACAGCTGGACACCATCCAATGACTTGTTTCCCAGGAAGAATGAATGCCTATAGGTTTGAGCAGCAGGTAAATGTCCTGAAGACGTGTGCTCCAACAGAGATCATCATTCACAGTGGAAGCCAAGGAACAGGGCAGATGGGTCTGAGGACTGAGAGGACTGTCCAAGACATTACCAATATGGTGGCTGAGGCCTTGACTGTTAAGAGTTGAAGAAGGAGCTTTGTACTAGGCCATTTTCAAGTTCAGTAAGAACCAAACTAGCCTAATTTTTCTTTTCTTCATAAAACTACATTTTTATGCTCATTTTACCTAAAAGCAATACTGCTTTACATACATTCCTTTTCCCCCCTTTTTCTATTTCTTCCCTAAATAGTTGCTTTTTGTACTGTAATGGCTAAATTCTACAGCATAACCGATTACTTGCATATGAAGTAAAACTGAAGGCTATGAAATATAGTGTTTTTTACAGCCAAAGCTTTTATGCATTTTTACAATCCTTTTCTTATGGTATTTTAAACAATATGAAACCTTTCAAAAAGCCGTTTAGTGTTTAGACTATGTGGAAGATTAAACTCATGCTTATAGAAGAATATATATAGTCTTTGCTAACTAAATCAAAGTTGCAGCAGTTTAAAGATTTAAATATCAATGTTTGTATAATATTGTTTGCTAATTTTTAAATAAGTTTATGATCATTATGCATTTATGACTAAATTTATTCTCATTCTAATAACTAAATGGAACAAATTTCTTCAGAGGATGTTTCATAAAGCACTTCTGAAATTAGCCTGCAAAAAATTTAGGTCCAATTGGTACATTATTCCTCCTGTTTGTGCCAATGTATTAATGTAGAATTATTTTGCTTTCTTCAACTGTATTTATTACTTCTGAAAAAGGGGGTGCTGCTCAGCTGGTGTTGGTGTCTCTGAGGGCCAAGATGACACTGTTTCTATGAGTGTTGGAAAACACAAACTAAAATCAGTGTTGCTACTTGTGTGCTGCTGCTGCAGAGAAACATTGCTAGAGTGATGCTGATGGCAACAGAGCAAGCAGGATGGAACGAGTCCCTTCCTCATCCAGCCTTGCATCCAGTCTCCCTCCAGCACATTCTATTTTATGTGCTGGAGTAGCTGTAAAAGCAGAAATGGGATTGTGAATCCCAGCCCCAGCATCACAAAGAAGAGTCTAGAAGAGTGGGTTTGAAACTCAGAGACAGTAGCTTAATAATGGGCATAGGCTCCTTCCCTTCTAAATCACTGTGATTTCATGCACCCAGAAGAGTCAGGAAGGACACAGGAAGTGGCCAAAAGATCAACAAGAATTAGTGAAGATAGGGTGGAATTTGGGGAGGATGTATAGTTCTAAGAAGTTATTTAAAATTGTCCCTGAAATTAAGTAAAATAAAGCTTGTGAATGGAATATTAACTTAAGCCAACAATGGAATGTAATCTTTATTTAGTTTATATTAAATTGCTTTTAAAAAATTTTGGCAATGGGCCGACCCTGTGGCTCACTCGGGAGAGTGCGGCGCGGGGAGCGCAGGGGCGCTCCCGCCGTGGGTTCGGATCCTATATAGGGATGGCCGGTGCACTCACTGGCTGAGCGCGGTGCAGGCGACACCAAGCCAAGGGTTGCGATCCCCTTACAAGTCACAAAAAAAGACAAAAAAAAAAAAAAATTTTGGCAATGGGCCGACCCTGTGGCTCACTCGGGAGAGTGCGGCGCGGGGAGCGCAGGGGCGCTCCCGCCGTGGGTTCGGATCCTATATAGGGATGGCCGGTGCACTCACTGGCTGAGCGCGGTGCAGGCGACACCAAGCCAAGGGTTGCGATCCCCTTACAAGTCACAAAAAAAGACAAAAAAAAAAAAAAATTTTGGCAATGTCAGACATTTAGTACATACTAAATAAATAGTGATGGTTGTTAATCTTCAAAGTTCTCTGGTGATAAAGATATAGAGATAGTCCTGGACAATTTTGTTTGGGAAACAAATTGAGAAGTTATCAGGTGTCTTTCCTTTGAGTTCCACTTTTATCCTTGGTACTTTATCTGTGTTACATTTTTCTGGTTTTTGCAGTTAGCTCTCAGCTGCAAAACTCAGTGTAAACTGTTCCTCTGTTTTCCAAAATTCTTCTTGACCCTCCCAATGCTATACATCTAGAAACTCGTTTTAAGAAGCAAATTGGAAAGGTTATGTATATAAAATGTGCGTAAGAGGGAAACACTGAAAAAAAAAAGCACTGTTATTTGAAATTCTAATGATCAGAGAGAATAGATGATGAAAACAATGGTTAGTTACCTGGCAGTGAAAAAGAAACAGAGTTAAGAAAGGGAGATAACGGAGATGATGATGATGGTGAGATGATGATATTGGATTAAAAGAAAAATAGAGACAAGAAAAATCAGGAAAAAGGAACAAAAATTAATAGCAGAGATAAAAGACACAACTTAGCTCTTACACAGCTTTAGAGGTACTGTACTGTGTTAATCCTAAAATACTTTTATTTTTCCCACAAATAGGATGCATTTTACAAACAATGCCTCGCAGAGTTTAACTGGCCGTATTCTCTCTCAGTGGCACATTAAATATTGGGTATTTACAATTGATGGCATCTTAGATTAATATATACTAATCTGAAGTTTACAGGCGCTACATTTCCTGTAGTAAGCAAGTATAGATTTCCAAAGCTAGCTTTGAAAAATAGCCAACAACTTTAGAATATGCTTAATGTACCAGATCTACTTTGCAGAAGTAGGGAGGGGAGTCTCCATATATAGCAGCCCTAGCCAACACTTCAATATTTATACAACTTGGTAGATCACCATCGACGCTGATTCAAAATCTAACAGGGCTACGTATAGGAGGACCACACAGTATTCTATCACTCAAACCAGACAAGTTTTACAGTGAAAGGGGGAGCTATTATTATGCTGGGACAAGAGATACAGTCTGTAACTATCCAGAGCAAACCAGATTACTCCAGCTATACACCCTTCCTTTAGAAAGTGTAATGCTCTGAACACCTCACTAAACAAACTGTGAAATGCTGGGAAACTCAAAATCTTTCTAATTATATTGCTGAAATGGAAATGAGAAATATGATGAACCCAAAATAACATGACAGAAAAAGCACTAGGATATAAGGAAGGGCCAAAGCTTAGACTGGCTTCTGAGCCTGCTGATCTTGAACTCTCATTTTGTTGGCAATACAGGATGCCAGGGCAAGAGATAAAGCCAAGGTCTGCCAAGATGGAGAATAAAACAGGAGACCCTTGATAAACCTGAGTCCTGAAAGTGCTCCACCTGCAGTGTACATGTAAATGAGAAAATCCCACCATACAGAACACAGAAGGAGTCACCAAAATACCCATGCCCATCTCCATCTGTCACTGTGTCAAGGGGAGGACTCTCATTTGAGAATTTGTAAATTACAAGCTGGCTCTTGTACAGGATTGTGGTCTGAAGTTCCACTAATTGTATGATCTGAAATCCCTTAATGGAGAATTTCATTCAAAGAGAGTCTGGGTAAATCTCCCAGGAAACTAGCAGAAGCTTTCACAATTCCTCTTAGGAAAAGTTCAGGTTCAATTCAGGCCTCAAGGAATGTCCAAAGATAAAGTTCTAAGGAGAATTGTAAATTGTAAATTGTAAAAATTCATAAGACATACACAAAAATAAGACACCATGGACAAGAAACAACACAAGGTAAAGAAACCAGATATTGGAATTATTAGACACTATATATATATATTTTTTTTCCTTTTTGTCTTTTTTCGTGGCCGGCAACGGATCGCAACCCTCAGTGTCGCGCCCACACCTCGCTCAGCCAGTGAGCGGCTGGTCTGTATGTGGGATCCGAACCCTCGGTGGGAGCGCCACCGCGCTCCCAAGCAGTGCACTGTAGCAGTGCACCACCGGGCCGGCCCTAGACACAATATTTTTTTCAAACTACATTATAGGAAATTCAAATGCCCCAGAAACATATGAAAAGATATTCAACCTCAGTAGTAACCAGGGAAATGCAAATTAAACTCTCAATGAGATACCAGTTCATACTTATGTTTTAAATTTGCATTGCCAGTTTGGCATTACCCACTATGTGCATGTAAACATGTGCATATCCTCCATTCCCAGATTATACTCTACAGAATCTCTCACACGTGTATCCCAGGAAATGTAGACCAGAATGTTCACAGCAGTATTGCTCATAATAGAAAAAGAATAACCCTGGAAATAGCCCTAATGCTCACAAAGAATAACCCTGGAAATAGCCCTAATGCTCACCAATAATAAAATGGGTAAACTGTGGTATTTTCACACAATGCCATAAGGCAGAGCAGTGAAAATTAACTAACCTCACCGTTTGCACCAACATGGATGAATCTCAAATATAGTATTGAACAAAAGAACCAAGTCACAGAAGAATACACGCCGTGTGCGTCAGTCCTTTTATATAAGTTGAAAGGTATGCATTGTTTAAGGATACATACGAAGGTGGTAAAACTAAAATGAAAGGCAAGGGAATAATTATCATGAAATCCAGGACAGTGGTTGTCTCTGGGATGGGTGGGTAGTAGGAGATATGATCAAGGGGGAGCAATTGAAGGGTTTCTAAGGGACCTGGTAATATTCGTTTTCTCAACCCAGGTAGTGAGTGTATGGGTGTTCACTTATCATATTTCTTTAATGTGTAAATTTTATTCATACTGTTGTATATATGATAAATTTCACAAAAAATAAAGTTAAATGAGGAATGATCCTTACAGTCTTTCTTTAACCCGTGGGACCTGCTGCTAGAGTGCTGTGGTGTTCACATTCTCAATGCCAGCTTCTTTGGTCATAAAATAAAAGGGGCCACGGTTTTGCAGCAATTCTTCAGGGCTGCCATACTCTACAATCTTTCCATTGTCTAGGACCATTATTCTGAAAGAAGGAGGAAAGAAATCATAGTCTTAGAAAGTAGCATCTCAAATCTTGTCATTTATAAGAAGAACCAGGACTAAGTTGTGGCAGAGTCATACAAGGCTACAAAGCAGTGAAAATGAATGAATCATGGCTGTGTGCATCAACATGGATGAACTCCACACGTAATATTGACAAAACAAACCAAGTGACAGAGGAATATACGCAGTATGAGTCCATTTATAT